CCCTTCCCCCTTCCTCTCCCCTCCCCCCTCTCTCACTCCCGCTCTACCCCCTTTTACAGGGAAAAGACGCTATTACACACAAGGGACGCAGCACTTGACGCTCCTCTCCCCGGGGAGCGAGGAGTCAGTGAGAGGGAGCGCGGGACGCAGGGGAGAGAGGGGACGTCCCTTCGGTGAGAGAGGAGGGGGGGGGGAGGGTGCTGGCATATGCTGCGCACCGCCTTGTAGTCGTGTGCTTTGCTGCTGTGTGTCATTGTTTTGTTTTTTATTATTTTATTTTCTCTAGAGCCCCGTTTTGTCTGGCCGCGCGGACCAGGGTGTTTATAACGTTTTTGCTTCGTTCCGCTGGCGCGCTGCCGCCGGCGGGACACGGGACTTCCCTCCCTCCGACCTCCAACATCGCTTCTGCACCGCACTGTTCACCCGGGAGGGTTTGACAAAAGTAGTATGCCTTACTGCAACCACTGCTGTGGAATAGATTCAGCTACTTGCGCGCCTGGGGACCTTAACGCCCGGAACGCACTCATTCTCATGTGGTGTATTCTACGGGAAAGCAATGTGTGATCTTTTTGAGGTAAAGGGGAAAACGTTTTAGGATCTCTCACGATTTGGTGAAACCTTATTGTCAGATATCGAGAAAAGTCTACACGGTAAAAACAATGTCTGATTTTTTGAGGAAAAAGGGAAAACTTTGAGGAGCTCCCATCTGAGGCAAAACTCCAAAAATCTTGAATTTTTTTCAAAGAACGAGGGAAATTAACAATTTTTGGGGGGAAGACTTCCTAATCTGAGTAGTTTTTCAACAAATGTGGGAGTTTCTCAAAGTTTTGCAATTTTCCTCAATAAATCAGACGTTACCGGCCATTACTGTGAGTTACCCCCAAATTTGAGGTAAATTCCCACATCATTGTGTTTGTTTTTGTTTTTCATTACCTCCCCCTCGGCGTCTCTCTGTCTCTTACACACATTTCCCTATCTCTTTCTTCCCTCTCCGCACACCTCACAAATGATTCACTTTCTGTCTTCCTCCCCATCTTTTCTCTCTCTTTCATCACGCATTCCCCTCTTACTCTCTCTCTCTCTCACACACACATGCTTTTCCGCACTTGTCTAGCTACTCTGGCCCAACGCCAATTGCGATGAAAATATGAAAATGTAATAAATAAAAGCAGTTGTGTTTTTTTTATTGTTTGCCCTCGTACGTTTCAAGCCGCGGGAGTAAAGTAACCTGCGCCGCGGCAAGAACATAACAATCATATCCTCTCTCTCCTCGTTCGAGCAGAGAGAGAGAGAGAGAGAGAGAGAGAGAGAGAGAGAGAGAGAGAGAGAGAGAGAGAGAGAAGAATAGAGAGTTGGCCTCATGCAATATATAACCCGGCCCACGCACTGTGTGACTTTCTCTTTTCGACGTCTTGGCTGCCGCCGCCGCTGCCGCCTCTCGCCCCGTGCGGCTCCAGGGAGGAAGCGAGGCGAAGGAATTCGTCAGAAGAAGATGAGCCCGTCTCATCTGCCCCTGTGAGGCGGTCCGCCGGTCCGTGCGTCCGTCCGCACGCCCCAATGCGCACACCACCGCTCTGGCTCTTGCCGTGTTCCTCAACCGCTGAAGCACCGCCTCACTCTCCATCTTTTTAACTGAAAAAAATACATCCATAAGAAAAAGGAATGATAACAAAAAATTGTGTTGTTTTTGATAATTGAGTTTAGAACAAAATAATTTTAAATTTCCCTTTTTGTTATCGGTGCTTTTTGGGGGGGATTGGGAGTGTTTTTCTTGGGATAAGATTGATTGGCCGCATGTCCAGGTGCGCTCTTCTCCTAGTCCGCCGCGCCCGCCCTGACGCTGCCTGTGCTCATCGGCGGGGTGATCCGTCTCGCGGTGCAAGGGGCGGGGAGGGAGGAACACCTCTCCAGCCAGGCGAGAATGGAGCCGTCGTTTTCCTTGGTGTTCGATCCCACTCCACCCCGCCCCACACCCCACCCCAACCCGCGCTTACCGGTCCGCTTGGCTGCTGCCGTTGCTGCTATACCGTGATTGAAGACCGACGTGGCGCCAGTGGCAAGATGGAGCGGTGGTGGCGGCGGTTTGGAAGAGAGCAAGAGAGAGAAAGGAGGGGGGGGCGGTAAAAGCAGAAGGCACCATTTGTGCCCAGGCTGGCTGTCGGCTGTCCGATTATCGGAACGGCATTCAGAGACAAAGAGAAAACGTTTCGGTAAAGTACAAACACAAAAACCGCTGTGGCCGCACGAGAAATCAGTGTGCTGTCGCGGTTTGTCCCTCAGGCGTAGTTCAGGCAGCCCCCCCCCCCCCCCCCCCCCCCCCCCCCCCCCCCCCCCGCCCCCCCCCCCCCCCCCCCCCCCCCCGTTTTGTGTCGTGCCCGTCGGTCCTGCCGTCCATAACTCGGCCGCAGAGCTTCCGACACATTTGACTGTCCTCGTTTTTCTCTTTTCCGTTTCAGTGTTCAAGCCACCCGCCTCCTCGACCGTCGCGGCCACGCCACCCGCCTCGGCCGATCGAGGTATTTTTTATTTTCCTACTAAAATGCAATGATGCTTGTTGCTGGTTTACGGACGCGCGTAAAAAAAAATAGAGGCAAAAGTGACGACGGGTGTAGAAAATAAAACTACCAGTACTCGATAATAATCATGAAAATAGTTGAAAAAGATATGTGTGTTTTTACGCGGCCGTTTGCCGACATTCCCATACACGGAAAGCGGTGACCGGGGCTGGCTATGGCCCACACGGCCAATAGTGATTTCATTACCTCTGCCCCGGCCCCGGCCCCTCCAACACCACCTCGGCCTCTTGCTCTCTGCGCGCCGTGGTGGTGGCCTCTGGCGTGGCCTCTCTGTGAAATCTGTTCTCGGCCAAGAAGAAGAAGAAAGGGCCACTCGGTCCCGGGGCCGGGGGGAGGCGGGGGCGGGCGATGTGCCGGTGGGGAGGCGGCGGCGGCAGCAGGTCTGAGCCATAAATTGACTGCAGCCATCCCCCCCCCCCCTTTTCCTTCGTCTCCCCCCGCCGCGCCCAGCGCGCTGTCTTAAGGGAGCCCCAGAATTTAATTTGGAGCCACGATTTCTCCCCCTTCCCCCCCTCACCCCTCATCTTTCCGCTCTCCCCTTCGCCCCTCACATCCCTTTTATCCCTTCACTTATTCCCACATTCAGGCAGCAGCGCGGCAGCACCGAGTCTCGTCTTTCTTCTTCTTCTTTTTCCGTCTGCCTTTCATCCGGCCGTATTATCAGGGTGGGATGCAGAGACGGAGGCGTTCCACATCCCGGGCCAACGTCTTCGTCTCCGCGCACTGCCGCCCGCCACTGGAGGGGGAAAACAAAGGTGTGACTTGTTGGCACCTCTCCTTTAAAAATGTGCTTACGGGTTTGTACCTTTACATATTGACGTGGAAACTGCCAGAGGCACTCACCCGTTAAACACCTTTGAAAGGTGCCAAGTCACGCCTTTATAATGTCAGCAGTTTTTGGTCTTATTTATCGCATTTAGAGATAGCCTACTTTACGGCTTAGCACGTGGGTACATGGTGGCATGCCTTGCTGAAGCTGAAAAACCCCGTCCCACCCCTTCTCACTGGAACTCAACGTGATCAATCGCGGCAATACCAAGTCAATACCAGCCATCGACCACGTGTTATCCGGTGAGGATCATAGATTTTGTCGAGTACTTACGACACAGGTTTTACGACGCGGGACGGGGCGACGGGCGGCCGCGCGGCCGAGCGGAGCGCTCAGCGCCGGGAGGGTAGGCACTGCGCGCACAGCCGTGCGGGCGAGTTGCCTACGCGCCGGGCGCCGTGGTGGCCGCGGCCGGGGGCCCCCTCCTCCTCCTCCTCACCCTCACAAGGTGGTGCAGGGGGGGGCGCCCTCCTCTGGGGCTGCGCGCTTTAACGGTAACGGGCCTACATCACGTTAAATCCTCCTCTAGTGCGGGGCCTATGGCTGGCCGTTGGGTTCAACTATCACTTTCACAGGGGCGGCTTATGCTCTGCTCTTTCTCATGCTCGACGACGGCGGCTGGTTGGGCCCGTTCGGTATGACACTCTTAGTCATCCGCAGGGCTTGGAAATTTCTGATTTGAGCAAGACAGTATGAAGATAGCATCGCCTTAATGAAGGCTTCCTAAAAAACACATCGGTCAATCAAAGATGCATTAATTGGGCCTCAAGCACAATCATTATTAGGGTCTCTTGGATTCACCTCGGAAGTATGAATCAAAGCGGAAACAAGTGTTTTCATAAAATGCTTGGGAGGCCAGAATTTGTATTCTCACAGGAGCCCCATTCCTGGCCTATCTAACCACTATGTGTAGTGAAGGAGGAGAGAACCCTTTGTGTTATATTATTCGCTGCGCTCACTGCTCGCAACGCCCCCCCCCCCCCGCTCCCACGCCCTTCACCCGACCTGCTGCTTTCATGAACCGAACACAAGTGTTGAACACACAACGCCGATCCCAAACATACACCTTTATGCGTGATGAAAACGACTGCCGCGGCCGCGCGGTATGCGCTTGTCCTTATATTTCCTCTGCTCTCACCGCGCTGCCGTTGTGAGGCGCGGGTCGGGGCAGGTCAACAACAGCAACCGAAAATATGAAAAATATATATACGCATAGGCTTCCATACTTGCCTCTCTCGCCGCAGCCTCATTCATTTGGGCCCGCCACCGTGCGCGTGTGCGGGTGGGAGGACGCGCGCGAAAACCCCATGGCTGCTGTTTATCCAAGTCATCCACACGTCGATATGCAGAGAGCGAGAGCTGGATGGAAAAAAACAAACAAACAAGAGAGTAGAGGGATGTTCAAGAGGTGAGACAAAATAGAGAGACGCGCAGAACGCCGCGAGTGGTTGTGCAGTTTACACAAAGGACAGGAATTATATGGACTATATCTTTCTGTATGGATAATAATCTAGATCAAGTAAATATGGGTTGAACTCAGCGAGCAGTACAGAGAGAAGCAGACGCTAAAAATTACAAACACACGGATCAATCAGTTAAGTTTCGAAGTACAGAATGGGGATTTTAATTTGACAAAAAGTGTATCTGGAAAAAAGTTCAAGATTATTTTTTTTTACATTTCATTTTTTTCTCTTTCATTTCTTAATTTCTTATTATTTCTTTCGGAAATATTCTTTTTATTTTGTTTGAAGTGTTGTTTCCGGAAAAAATTTTGGCTTTAAAATTCCTAGATGAAAGGTTTAGGAGGGCTATCCTTGTCGGTCGTGCAGTTTGTTGTTCAAGAACATCACGTATCGGCGGCGATCCAGTCGTCGTATAGCAGAGCAGACGACGCGCCGCAGACGTCGGCGGCGGTGGCGGCGGCGGGCGGCCGCAACCGCGATGGGGCGGTGCGCATGCGCGGCGGCGGGGGGCGGGGCCTCGCGGCGCGGCGACCAATCTCGCCCCGGCCTCCCTCGCTCCCCCCTCCTCCCTCCCCCGCGCACCCCTCCCGCCGCCCGCGGCCGAATCTGTCATAGCGCGCTCTCCTCGGCACCGATACCGTTCCAAAACCATGATGCATAAATAAGAATGAAAAAAAAGAAAGAGGGGAAAAGCCCCTCCCGCGTGTGGTGAGGATGAGGTACTCGAACGCGTCCTCGGCGGCGCCCGGGTGCCGTCGCCTACCTACCTACCCCTTAGCCCGCGGCCGGGAAGCCTCTCCTTTTTGCATTCATCGCTCGCTGAGCGCGCGCGCGCGCGCGCGCAGGGGTGAGGGGTGGGCGGCGCGGGAGGGTGGGGCGGGGGTGTGTCGCCGGGGGTGTGGTGGGGGTGGCGGTGGCGGCGGAGTACTCCTCTCCTCCCCCTAGGCGAGTCAGTCGAGTTGGAGACGAGTCGTGTGCCGGACGGATAGCGTGTGCGTGCGCGCGTGCGTGTGTGTGTGTCGGCCAGCGCGTAAGCGTGTCGTGCGGAAGGTGCTTGTGAGTGAGAGTGTCTGTGTGTGCAACAGCAAGGAGCCCAGCAGGACACACCGGTGCGTCCTCATGGCGCGGCCGCGGCGGCCAGTGCTGGTCCGGCGCGCGCCCGGGGCGGACACCAGATAAGACCGCCGTGCACAGCACCGTTGCCGTTGTCGCCGTGTCGTGTGGTTGCCGTTGAGCGCGGTGGGCATGCATGGAGGTGGAGCGAGGCGTGTCGGGCCTGGCCGGGCTGCTGGGCGCCATGATCACCTACCGCACCGACGTGCCCGTGCCGCTCACGCCGCCGCAGTCCTCCCCCGAGTCCCACGGCAACCTGGACCCCGACATACGCCTGCCGAGGAACCTGCCCGCCGCCTTCCTCAGTGAGTGTCTCCTCTGCTCCCCCCCAACAACCCTCGCCGGAGCGACGACACTGCAAGAGAACGATCCAGGAGAAAACAGATCAAAACACTACAACAAACTGCAGCGGCAGCAACAACAACAACATAACTTTGAGAAAGGCCCGTTTGCCGGCATGACATCAGTGAGGATACTCGATTGTGATTGAAAGAAAATAATAATCGTCTCGAGCCGCGAATCTCGGCGAGGGACTCTGTTTTGAAGGACGGGGCGACGTTCTCGAGCTGATAACGAATCCCCCGTCCCCTTCCTCCCCATTTCCCCCCGGCGCCCCCGTAACGTCCTACCGAAGAAGTCGTGTCAAAGTCCGATCACACCTCAGGCTGGGTCGGCCGGCGCTATCGACGCAGATACCCGTGCGACCGACCGACTTCTCCGCGGCGCGGACAGTCGCGAGGCGGTGCGGTGACCTAAATGAGGGAAAGCTTTCATGAGTGTGTCGGTGCGCCCCTCCCTCCCCATGCAGTGCAGTATGACGCGCTGACCAACCCGCCTCTTCGTCCAAATACCCTTCATTTGTCGTTACGCCTGTTCAAGCTCCGAGCTATCACCGAAGCTCTGCGCTCTGCGGCTTAGCTGGATTACCCACCTTTGAGTGGTCGGGGCTCACCCAAGGATTACCTGCGTGCTTCTGACTGAACGGCGCAGGCTCTATATGTCACTGCCCTTCCCTAAATGAGAAAGGCTCGCGGATTTGCTCGCCACCATTTCTCGAGATCGGTATCGCACGGTGACTGACAAAACTCTTCCGAAAAAAAATCAGTATTGCAAAATCAGATTGTCTTTGATGACGCCAATAGGGGTCAAGTAGTTTCGGATTATTCTCTCGACATTCTCTGGCGTTTTCGAGAAGCATGGAAGACGATGAAAGATATGTGGATGGACAATGAAACTTGGCACCTCAGATTAGAGCTAAATGTACGGAGAGTCAATCAAGGAAACACTGAAAACTTAGTTTTTCAATGCTCACTCTAACGCCGCTTTCTTTGCCAAGGTGTTACCATTCATCTTTGACTCCAGATGATGGATGGTACTCTCTCAAAGATGGACAAATTTTGGCCTCGTTGGGTGCCAAACTTTCAGATGTGGCCAAATTTTTCGAACTTTTTGTAACTAGTTAGAAAGCTGTTGAGCTAAATCGGTGATCTTGAAGAGAATGGAAAAACCTGGCGGCCAAAGGAAATGCCAATATTTTGGCGAGCAAAGCGGCCGCGACATTTGCCACTCGAGTGCTTAAAAATTGCTACAGCAATCATTTTTTGTTTTTTACTGGCATTTGCAGATGCAGAGATGGACAGATGCAATTTTAGTTTAGTTTCCCCCTCTCTCTCTCTGTAGCTTTCGAACTTTGACACGTTTTTTGCTGTTGTTTTTGCTCCCCCCCCCTCCCCGGCCTTTCCACCAACTCTCGCCCAACCTCGTATCCTACCGTCCGTCGCTTTGGCCGGGCGCGGGCACAGACAACCTGTAGCCATGAGCGAGCCGTGAGAGTAGCCGCGCTGCTGCTGCTGCTGCTGCTGCTGCTGCTGCTGCTGCTGCTGCTGTCGGGTTGTGGCAGTGCGGGTCGGGGCGGGCGTGGCGCTATCAAACTGCTCCGCCGCGCCCCGCCACGCTCCGCCACGCCCCGCCAGGTGCGCCCTGCGCGAGCCCCCGACGGTGGCCGTCTCTGAAATCAGTGCCCATAGCGCGGGCCAGATAAGGCGCCTCGCGTATAGTAGGAGAAGGAAAAGGCCCGTGATTTTGATTTGTGGCTGCGATCACGTGTCGGCCCACTCCAACTTGTGTGATGAACTGTGCCGCCCGGGCCGGCCCGCCTGATCGGTTCGATTGAAAGAACGTGACCGCTCCGTTGCAACAAACTTACTCTACCGAAATTAACCTCTCAAAAACAAATGAAATACCAACAAAAATTTAACCCAAAAATACAGACTGACTTTTCTATCAGACACCATATCTTTTTTGCTCTCCGGTGCTTACTTTCTTTTTCCCCCTTTCTTTCCAGCGAGCATCCCCAAGTGTGGAGGTTGCGGGGAGATGATCCTGGACCGCTTCATCCACAAGGTCCTGGATCGCACGTGGCACGCCAAGTGCCTCAAGTGCGCCGACTGCGGGGCGCAGCTCGCCGACAAGTGCTTCGCGCGGGGCGGGCAGGTGTTCTGCAAAGACGACTTCTTCAAGTGAGTGCCTAAGCTGCCCTGGAGGATATGGGAGGGTGATCGCGAAGACCTCCCCGGATTGTTCGACATCCGCAGTGACCATTTTGGATACAGCCACAAAAAATTTCCATTCTTTGTTTCCTTTGCTCTTGGAAGACCAAACGCGCAAACATTTTGGGTACTGCCGATGCCTATGAGATCGGCACCGGAAGTCGAACAATCCGAGGAGGAGCTCTCCAATCACCCTCCAAGTGTTCCGTTGCTTCTGCTTAACGATCACATACACGTCAGTTAAAGTTCAAGTTCTAAAAGGTAAAAGGGTCAGTGTCATGTACCTCTTAAAGAGTCGAACAAAAACTTTTTTCATGGCGCTCTTCTTCGTTAGCAAGTTTCTAAGCAATACCTACTTAGGTTGCTGATTTTGAGGCGCAATTCAATCGTTCATGCTGACTTGTTCAGACCTTATTTGGGAGGCAATATGAATTATGAATCCCTCGTCGTTTTTAAGTCTAAACAATGCTCATAAAAATTATTTTTCACGACCAAAATTGTTTGCCTGTTTTAAAACTAGGCAACTAAGAGTCACACAATAATTCGTGTGGTAAACAGATTTTTTTTTCGAATGGTCGCCCATTTTTGCTGTGTAGTTTTTTGAAGTCGGCCGCGGTGGCGCGTGGTGCCTCCCCGTGCTCGCATTTGTCATGCCTGTCGGGTCGCGTCGGGTGTATATAATGTTTGGTGTGTTTGCGCTGCGGGGGGCCCAGGCGGTACGGCACCAAGTGCGCGGGCTGCGGGCTGGGCATCCCGCCCACCGAGGTGGTGCGGCGCGCCCAGGACCTCGTCTTCCACCTGCACTGCTTCGTGTGCGTCCTGTGCAACAAGCGGCTCGACACCGGCGACGAGTTCTACCTCATGGAGGACCGCAAGCTGGTGTGCCGGGCCGACTACGAGGCGGCCAAGACGAAAGGTGAGTATCCCCATCCACCTTGAGGACTTTAAAGCCCGAAATTTTTTCGGAAACATTGAAAACTTTTCCGGAAAAAATCGGAAAATTTTGAAATATTTCCAGAAAAATCAGAAAAACTGAAAACTTTTATCGAAAAAATTAAGAGATTTTTCAAAAATTTCCCGGGAACACCTTTCCGGAAGATTTGAAATCCGTAAGTTTGGGTGCCTGTTTGTCCACTTTTCCTAACTCTAACCTGGGTGTGCTGCGCGCGCTGATGTGGCAGAGGGCAGCCTGGACGGCGACCAGCCCAACAAGAGGCCGCGGACCACCATCACAGCCAAGCAGCTGGAGACGCTCAAGGTGGCCTACAACAACAGCCCCAAGCCCGCGCGCCACGTGCGGGAGCAGCTGAGCCAGGACACCGGCCTGGACATGAGGGTCGTGCAAGTCTGGTTCCAAAACAGGTGAGTGGTTGGTTTTGCTTTCTTTAAACTTATTGTTAAACATGATACGTATGCAATACCGGAAAGCAACTTTGTTTTAAATGTTGTTGTCACTCTCTTTTGAGGGGAATCACGTCCAATGGGTGGGGCGGTGGGACACTGACAGCCAGCCGCGCGTATAGGGATTCAGCAGCTGCTCTGCGCGTGCGAACAGCGCCTGTACGGCCTCTCTCTCTCTCCCTCCCTCCCCATGTGGACCGTCAGGGGATGACCGTCACACTCACTCCTGGCTCATTAGGGCGCAGGCATAGCAGGACACAGCCAGCGGCTAGCACGCTCAACGTTTTGGGCGGAAGTTTACAAACCTAAATATTGCAAACCCAAACCCCGAATTGTCTCGTAAATTGCCAGCGGATTCTGGTAAATTTCTAACAGAATCATTTTTAAAAGTATCTTTGAAAAACTAGTTTAAACGAAAGGCAGTAGTTCTTGAATTCCCATTTGATACCAGTTTTTGCGTTCGTGGCAAGGGGGGGGGGGGGGAGTGCTACACCAAAGAGACATGCCATTCGGACTAGACCGCCAACGGCACGCCGGCAAGGGTCCCTTTACCACCTCTGAGCGCGTTTTACGCAAAAAAATATATACAAAAACGAGATTTTGTGCTTCGCGGGAAGCTCATCATCCTGGGGGCGCTTCTGCTGCTCATCATCCTCCACAGCGTGTATACACCTGTCCGGGTCCGGGAAATCCCTTCATGTGCTGGCCTCTCTCTCTCTCTCTCTCTCTCTCTCTCTC